ATATGAAAAATTCTGAGAAAAGATGTAGATTTTCTGAGAAATGTTCCAATTCGTATAAAAAATATAAGAAAATTATAAAATTATATAGAAATTCTGAAAAATTATATGAAAAATTCTGAGAAAAATGTTTACCAGGGACTAATAACGTAAATATACAATTAATTGATTGGTTTCGCTTGTACAGTAGTAGAAGAGGGCAGACACAATGGAAATACAAGATGAAATCTATAGATACGAATGGAAAGCCGGCAATACCTCAAGAATCTCAGTCACCCCGACCCCAAACTAAACTCTCGGCAGACATGAGCCCTGCTTTAATAGCGCAAGCTAATTGGACATTCGTAGAAAAATTGCTCAAGGTACCTTTATTTTATGAATATTATTGAACATGATTGAAATTTTATGTACAGTCAGCAATTAAAAGATTGTAACACTTTTTTAATGAGTTTTGGAATGCAGCCTACTTACCGAGCGATTAGTTTTTACTTATGGATTTATAAATAAGAATCAATAATTCGGTGAACAGACTGTATTCCGAAATCGTGAAGAAAGTGTTGCAATCTTTTAGTTGCTAATTGTACATTTATTATCTAGAATTACTTTTTATAATTCAAATATTAATCAAATTTTAAATAAGAAGAACCTTATATTCGGTTACCATATATTTCGGAAGCGGATCTTACAAGTACTTAAATATATATTTCTTTTGTAAATTTATATACTTTTCTAATTCTGCATATCACGCGCCGAAATATTTTTTCGGATTTAAAACTTCTTCATGAACAGAACCAGAATAGTAATATCACTTAAGATAAATGTGTATTTAAGCACTAAGATCCGCTTATATAGGAATATAGGAATATAGGATTCTTTTTAATTAAAATTTGAAAATACGAAAATAAGTAAAATGCAATCCGACTTTTATGATAGTAAAAAGACATTGTTAAAACTTCAACAAATACATATCATAATTTTTTCAGATTTTTATGTAATCCGGAACATAAAAAAATTTGCTCTCAAAAAAACCCCTGTTGTTAGAAAAGTTAAAATTCCATGGAAGATTAATATTTAAACAATATGAAGTGACTGTTAGACCGATATAATATTTGATTTATTATATTTATATCGATCTAACAGTCACTTCATATTGTTTAAATATTAATCTTCCATGGAATTTTAACTTTTCTATCAACAGGGGTTTTTTTTCAAGAGCAAATTTTTTTATGTTCCAGATTACATAAAAATCTTAAAAAATTATGATATATATTTGTTGAAGTTTTAACAATGTCTTTTTACTATCATAAAAGTCGGATTACATTTTACTTATTTTCGTAGATTTAAGTCGGAATAAGAGTATTGAAAAAATGTGATGTTAATTGAAATATTCATGACTTTCATACGAGTAAAGAAAAAATCCTTTTAAACTATAATGCTTGGGGGTATGTACTTCGGAAAAAAATAGTAAATGATGTTGGCTCTAAAAAGTTTAATTATTTGAGCACTCGGAAATACAGATTTTTATATTGAATACAAAAATATATATTTTTTCTGAAAAAGTATAATTATTTTTACGGCGGGTTAATTATTAGATTTCATTTATGAGCACAAAGACACACAAAAAAATAAAATTACATTTTATATTGTACGGAATAGTCTGTAAAATAATGTTGTGATGCTTCTCGCTATCGGTTTGTCATATAAGGCACAGTAATTAGTTTTCCGGTTATTTGATTAATGACAAAATAAATATTTTTTGTGTGTGTTTCTCTTATTTATTAAATCTCTTTGGAGTAGTTTCTCCTTCAATTTCGAGTATTTCCTGAAATATGTATCTGCATACCGTAAATGTTGATTTTGAATGAAATGAAAAAGATATAAAACACTAAAAAATTTTAAATGTAAAATTTTTATATCTTTATTGAAACTATAATGTCAAAAACATTTAAAACATAAAAAAAAATTAAATTTTTTATTCACACAAAATATTTTGCGGGCTGCAACTGGGGTTGCTGAGAGAACCAACACGATTTCTATTCGTTTTTGTACTCGTAACAAAACAACTGGATACTGATGTCTTTGTATACACAATGGCTAATATCAACATCACCAAGTTCTTTTAGGGATGAATATCGAATCCCTATTACTATTATCCATTCTTTCTTAAAATTCATAATCAAAATATCATATCAATCGTATCTTTAAAACCCCATATGTTACTGATAAAGATTAAATAATTTATTTTTGAACTATTTCTTAGAGTTATTTTTATACTTAAACTATATATTTATTGTATAAAATGATGGAAAAGTTTTATTTGAAGAGAACATTAATTTTGTATAGTTACATTTATTTCATATAAATTATATATATAAATTAAAATTTAATATAATAATTATTATTCTTAACATTTATAATTATAAAATTATTTTTATAATAAGGATTGTAAGTCCAAGACGAAGAGAATGTTAGTAGAAAAAATGGGATCGGAAGCCGTTGCACTTGGTCACGGGGGCGAGTCTCTGTCTGACGTTGAGGAGAATACTCTGGTCGCTAGTCTCTGTGATCTGTTGGAACGAGTATGGAGCCATGGATTACAAAATAAGCAGGGCAAAAGCGCTCTTTGGTCGCACTTGACTATGTATCAGGAATCGGAAGAATGTAATGACGCGACTAAATCTATAGATTCCAACTTTCTTTCTCCTGGTAAGATATGCATAGTTTAATATCGTATAAATATTGCGGTTTAATATGTTTAAATATATTATTTAAGTATAATATGTTTAAATATATATATTAATATATTATTGTATATTATATAATATATATTTTATATATCATTATATTTTTATACCTTTGATAATGCGCTTAGATATGATACGTACCTATATGTACAAGAGAGAAAATAATTATTTAATTGTAAATTACATTAAATCATTACTATTTTGTGGAAATGCAGCACTAGCGTGGTCCGTGCTACGGAAGCGACTCGATTGTACGTGTCTCCGTTTTGCAATAAGATAAAGTATTATAAAGTAGAGATTAGTGTTCTCTTCGTACGTAGATACTCTGCACTGTTAGTTTTGTAAGTGATCCACCAAACAATAGTTATATTACATGTTTACGCTTCGCCGCACGTATTATTTTAGTATCTTCGAATATTCAATAACGAAAAGTAGAATTAGCGCGCACAAAGTCTAAATTAGCCCAATTAGCAGACAATGTTTCAAAAATATATTTTTAATATCTTTTATATCAAATAAATATTAAAAATATATTCTAAGACCTTGTCTGCTGATTGAAAAATAATAATGTAAGCAATTTTATCATTTTGTTAATTATTATGTTTAATTTTTCTTTATTTTGTATTTTATTTTTTGTTATAACTAGCTAAGAAATCTCCGAATAAGTTTTTCGGAATATCGGATCGTTTGGTTTCATCTTTGAGAGGCAAAAGTATTATTGAAATTGCTTCTTACATCAAGGACAATTTTAATGGTAAGCCTTGATATTGGCTTGCCATACGAAAAGATAGTTTTATGAACTAATTCTATTAAGTATAACGGCTTTTTTTAAAACTCTTGAATGCCCGATCAACATATATCTCAATAACAAATCATTTATCATAGTTACATATTTATTAAATACATATTATTTTAATATTATAATTTTTTTAAAAATTTACAAATAAAATATCTTTTATTGAATAGACTGCATGCCAGATTGCTGTCTCAGTAAACAAGAATGGATTGAAATGGATTCAGAAGTACGCATTCACGAACGTGGATTGAAATGAATCCTTTTCAATCTCAATGGATTTTTATTTATTTACTGGAATTGCATGAGCACATTTCTATGTTTTTCAATCTAAAAAAATTTCTCTAAATGCATCGTGAATACTACTCAATTCAAAATTGTACATAGGAGAAATGCAGTTTTTAATCTATTGAATCTAAAAAAAAATGAAAATGGGCCATGAATGCTATTAAAGTACACATTTGGATGATTTAAATGGATTAAAATTTCAATCCATTTTAATTCAATCTCATGTACTAGGATAATATGTGTGCGTGTGTAACGTATTTTTATGTAAATTATGTATGAAGAGAGAGAGTGTGTGTGTGTGTGTGTGTGTGTGTGTGTATGTATAGTGTGTATATGTCTTTCCAAATGTTTATACAAAGCATGCTACTGAATTTGCATGTATTAATGTATGCGCAAATACGTATTAAGTATAATTAGATGAATGTTTAGTCAAGAAGAATACTGTTTTTGTGTATTTTGTTTGCATCCTTTGGCTTTAACTTGAGAAATGCCTGTATCTAAAATATTTTACATTATGATTGAAATTATATATAGATTTGTCAAATTTGCAATTGGAGACGGACGTTTCACCCACAAGAGGCGCGGACAAGCACAAGTCTTCTAGTGAAAGGAAAACCATCGGTCCTGAACACTTGAGACCTCTCCCGGATTCTTTAATCTTCGACATCCGCAACGTTCAAGCGATGACTGATATTAAAACACACATTGGATATGCCAGAGCGTGGGTGCGGCTAGCGCTTGAAAAGAAATTGCTGTCGCGTCATTTGAAGACATTATTGTCGGATAATGCTTTATTAAGGTGCATTTTGGAAATTATTAAATTATTACAGTCATATGCATATGTGATAATATTGACACAATAGCTAATTAATACTGATAATGATATTAGTAGCGATATTTAGTAATGTTATTAGATGTTATTAAAACTTATACTATATTAAATAATGATCTTTTTGGACATATAATTGGTAATGTTTTTAGCGAATTCGATTAGATGCATTCAGTGTGCACTGGTGCACATTAAAGCCGTCGTACACAAATTGTTGTAAATATATATGTTTAATATAAATAAAAAACGAATTAAATTGTGAAATTAATACATTTTATTATGCTGTTAAGTAATATCTATATTTTATAATTCGAAATATTTGCATTTTACTTTTATACAATTAATGTACAACAGCTTTAATATTCACTAGTGCACACTAGTACGTCCAACCGAATTCGCTATTTATGATTTATTAGGACCCAGTACAAACGATCAGCGTTTTTACGCTGTGAAGAAGAGAAAGAGCAATTCTTGTATCATCTTCTAACGTTGAACGCCGTCGATTACTTTTGTTTCACAAATAATTATCCAACGACGAAGTTACCGTACCGAGTTGTGATATTTCCCAGTCGAAAAGCAAGCGCCGCTACTACTTCGGCTAATAGTTGGATTGCTATTTCTGGCACACTCTGCGAAACTAATCCCGTACCCATACCAAAGGGAGCACTTGAATTTGTATTTCATGTGAGTATTTTAGTTTTATTGTTAAAAATGTTATAAAATTTAATGTACTTTTAAGTTTACACAAATTAAATTCAATTCCCTGACATTAAATTAAATTTAATGTGTCTGTAATTGAGAAGTATATTTGTGTACATTACATGAAATTTAGTGTACTTTTCATAAAATTTTATGAAATATAATGCATTTTTCATTAAATTCTATTTAATTCACATGCATTGAATTTACATGAAATTTAATGCATGTGAACATTAAATTTAAGCTACTTGTAACTTCATTTTGATTGATAACATATCAAATATTTTTAATGCATCTGCTTGATACATATACTTCCATTATATGTAAAAATTACATAATAATAAATATTTATTTTCAATATTTTATAAGTAAAATTTTTTCTAAACTCAGTACCGTGTAATAGATTTTATTAAATATATTTTAATCATGTAATCATCTCTTTATATATACTTTTTAGCATAAAAATTTAGGCGTATTGTCTACGTTACGGATTGGACATGACAATACCGGGTTGTCGCCAAAATGGATGGTGGAGCACGTTGTAGTGAGAAACGAAGTGACCGGACACACATTTAAGTTTCCCTGTGGTCGTTGGCTTGGCAGAGGAATAGATGACGGGTCTACCGAACGTTTATTAGTGGGTGCTTTAGTACCTCGAAGCATTGATAGCGAGGAGTTGGTGGAGTCATGTTCCACGCCTCCAAGATGTAGATCCCCAAGTATACCTAGGCGTCCTATATTCTCGCAAGTTGAACTGCAACATATGCTAGGTAAATTAATATTATAATTACTATTGTTTATCTATATATTATATTTGTTTGTACATTTTGTTAGAATAAATTTCTAATATTAATTCAAATTATTTTAATATTCTGGCAAAAAATGTAATATTAAAGGAACATCGTCGTTCTTATCATCACTTTGTTTTTAGATAATATTTTTTGAGTAAAAGCTAAAAATAAATTTTTAGAAACATAAATACAAATTAGAAAGTTTCTTCTATAGGATGACAGTAGTTTTTGTAATATTTTTATAATTTTGCAATAATTAATTTTTTCATAAAATAAGCAGAAATGAGCGTCTGTCAAAATGGGTTCTAAACTGATACAGTAGGCATTAATGCCATTCTTATTCTTTTTCTTTCATAGGAATCATCTAAAAATCATAAAATAATTACAATTAAAATGAACGTATATAAGAGAATTTCTAGAATCTTTTTACTACTTCAATATAAAACATTTTTTTATTGATTTATATGCACACTTTATGCTGTTTTGCAAATATATAATACTACAATTTTTTTCGGAGAATTTTTCCGTAAATACAAGATTGTTTTCAGTTCCAAAAAATACAGTTATTTGACACTATATTACAATACCATATAAAGATTAAGTTAGGTATGCAACATCTTATAGACCGATTTTATATTCAAATATTGTGTTATGAGAAAATTAAGAAAAGAAAAAAACTCGGAGAAAAATATAAATAAAACATTTATGAAATTAAAAACATATAAAACGATATAATATTATCAATAATATAATTACTATTTAAACTACACAATTTGTAAAAAAAAATCGTTAGAATTTGGTTTTAGTTGATTTTATATAGAAACAAATCACAAATATTATTATAATTATCTAAACAGATTATGTTTTTTTTATCAGTATGAGTAAAGTACAATACTTATATTTTCTAAGGGGACATTTCTTGAGGAAACCTATGTCGGTATCGGCGATTTTCCTCTACCAAATTGTTTGTAATACAGAAAATTACATTATTTACAAAAGTAGAAAGAGCTTGTTTATATATATATAATAAGTAAAATGATATTAAACATAATATTACAGGCGAAGCTGTAAACGCCATAGTTAAATATCACTACAGAAGAGAATGTCAAGATGGTTCCTTGACAGCACTATTATGCGGAGAAGGAGGTCTCGTACCGTCTTTAGAACAAATATTTTTATTTGGCTTTAAAAATCAAAGGATATTTGGAAGGAACTTTTATGTATGGGACTATCTCTGTAAGTAAAAATTTAATCGTATTCAGTGATATTAGAAAACTGATTTTAGAAAAATGTATAATTGAAACTATTGTAGTACGCATAAAAGAAAATTTTGAGATTTCCCTGTTGGAGGAAATGGACGAATATTCTCAAAGGCTCAACCGCGATAGAAGAGTATACACAGCAAGCAGTCAAAGATTTACGATCTTGAGATGCTATTGTCATCTTATCGATCAGATCAATATGTTCAGTCAAACTTTAGGGAAAGATGGGGAATTCCAATTATTTATTTGTTTAGCGGCGAGGTGAGTTTGTGAAAATTTTAACGCGATTATTCACTCTCAATTCGTTTTTTGTTGTTATTTATATTCATTCGTCAATGTAATTTTCAGAGAACAACTTCTTCATCCAATGTTGCGGCCGATGAGCGATGCGCGTTCTACGATGGATATGTATGAGGAAAATTCGTTTTTGAGAAATCCCACATTACTGACCTTTCTTGTTCATATTCTTGAACCGTTGAGCGAATTCCACATTGTCCTCGAGAAGAGCTTGACCCATGGAATTTCGAGTATATGTTAATATTTGTCAAAACGTATCGATGTACATTAATTTGTTGCAAGTTCTTTTTGATAAATATCGCGAATTACGAAATATTTCTAATTTAAAAAGTGGTACGTCCGGCTTTTCAATTTTATTAATAACAATTTAACTGTTATTATGTTGTTTTTAATTATATTGACGAAATTGGAATAATCAAGCTTTTCATGGCTAGAAATATTAACAAGAGAACGGATTTACTAAACAGTAACAAATGACGAATTTGATTGTTATTACTTGGGATGATAAAAATATATATACTTGGAAAATTTCATTATTAAGAAAGAGACTAGAAGGATTTAATACGTATATATTAAAACTGAAGACTGTTATGGGGATGTAGCTGTACAATATGCTTTTATGAATAACAAATTAGAGATTAACACGAGATTTATTAAATATAATGTTAAACAAGGAGAACATAAATCTCGTTCTGTTTCAGAGGCTTACGATATTATCATCGATGATAAGAAATTAATATATAATCAGAATATATTTGGCCCCATCTTGCCATAGCTATTAGCACGATAAAGGTGGTGTTCGTTGACATATTGATACTAATGACAAATTGTACCAAAGATGTGATCCCATTTAATCAATATCATTTTACATTATCATTGCTGTTATAGATGTTAAGTTTCTTTATTATTTTACGTCGATATATTTTTATCAAATGTAAAATATCTTTTGAAATAATTTTTATACCTGTACGTGCGGATTAATAGTACATGCGATTTTTAATTCAACGCGACGATATTTTCCGAATACAAAGAATTATCAAAATGTCCGCAAATAATCTGATGAGTCTCGGACAATAATTTTTAAGACAGAAAAGTCAGAGGATTATTTTTTTAATGGCTGTGCTTCGATACTTGAAATCGAATATAACTTATGTTGAACTTATGAGTACTAACATGACAATTTTATGTTATATATGTATAATTATTACAGCAAACATTAAGTTCCAAGAATTGTACGTACATACAAAGGCTGTGTTTCAAAATTTACTGTTAGTACTGAAAATCTATAGTACACGTGACATACACGTGACAACTATAGACTTTCTGTACTGGCAGTAAATTTTGAAACAGTCAAAGTCTCATATTTTATTAAAGTAACTGCTTTTGCCCTCTGAATGCAGATCGTAAATAATAAACTTAAATAATATAAAATATAAATCTTGCCAGATTTATATTTCAGAAAATTATTATTAAGTTAATGGAATTAATTCTTTATGTATATTAAATTTATTATGTGTATATTTAATCTACAAACTTATATAGAGTTTGTGTTTTAATTATAATTGTAATATAAGAGGGCAAGAACTGTTACTGAATTGTATCGTAAATGGACCAAATGACGTAATCATCTTTAAGTTGTCATATTTTTATTAAAGCAGATTATAAGTCAAATAGAAGGATATGTTCTTTTCGATATTTAATTTAACATGCATGAAACATATACTTTTTGATCAGTCAGACATTGCTCCGATCAGAAAGTAATGATATCGTTACAAATTTGATCGGTACAAATTTGATATACTCAGCTAGTTTTTGTAAGCAAAAAATGGAATAAGATAATAAGATAAAACTGTACACTGTAAAAAATAATTCCCAAAGTACAGTCGAGTGTTTCTCATTGAATAAATAAATCTAAGAACCATTTGATATCTTTTGCAATACTTAATTCCACGATGTTATGCGCATTATGTCGCGAATCTCTCGATATTATGGCCAAATATGAGATTATGATTATCTTATGTGTATCCATTCAAAATTTCGATTTAGATATATACAGTTTTGTTTGAAAAGTCTTTGACAATTTAACGTGGTATATATGAGCGTTACTTTTAATGTAATAAATTTATAATTTAATACAATGTTGTTTTAATTAATTTTCCTAATTTAATTTTAACCCGTATGTATGTGTATATGTATGTGTATATATATTTTATATATACATATATGTATATACACCTCCAAAAGTTTAGAAACATTTGCGATTTTTTCGCATTTTGTAAAAAGTTAAATATCTCGGTGAAAAAAAAATAATAGAGAACCATGTGTTCTAAATTATTTTCAACCACGTGTACTAAAGTGCAAAGATAGGACTTAAAATTTACATTCAAAATTTTTATACATTTTATTTTTAAAATTACATAAAGTTGAATATTGATATTTTTTGCAGTATTTTTGTCTTACTTTAAAACACTGTAAATTGATGAAACATTATCAGACAAAATTTAATATAAAAGTATTTTAAATTAGGCTTTAAGCTTTAATAATTTTTTTAAATCGAAAGTAAAACTACAGAAAAGGGGAGTAGTCGCCGACGACCTTGATCTTGACATATGTTGTCAAGGTCATCACCCTGAGTAACCTCCAACAAGTTTTGGCTGTTGCTCGCTGTCCGTTAAAAAGTAATTAACAAAAAAAGTTTAAAAAATAATGTCTCATTTCTACTATAACGAAAGTTGTAAACCTATATAGAATCTCGCTTTGTGTTGAAAAGTGTATGCGTGGATCCAGTGGTGGAGTGAAAGTCTGTGGGTAAAAAAATATTTTTGTAAACAAAATTATATTAATTTTAAATGGATTTAATTTTCGTACCTCTCGAAGTACTAACGATAAAATTAATTTATTATATATTTACAATAAATTGTAAAGAGTATGTGTATGTTTTCACGCATACATATACGCAGGAATAAAAATGGGAAAAAAGCAAACAAAATTAAAAGTTATTTTCTATCAATATTATTATCATGAGGAAATATTTATATAATTTTTATAATTCCGTAAAATCGATATATACGAGCTATAGCTAAATATATAGTTAGCATGTATATTTACTTGATTTACTGTATTTGTTTATGTCCTTTCCTGAATTTATTTCGATTCGACATCGATTTCATTGTTATTTCTCACTGGGTAATGTATAGTGTGCTGGGTCTGACTATGTACATTTATGACTTTTCATGCTTTCTTTCGTTGTTCTTTGAATCATTAGGACTGCCACTCGCGTTATGAGTTTAATGGCAATATTAAAATAAAGATACACAGGCATATATTATTTAAAATTGACGATACTCTTCAAACTTCTGCGATACATTAATCTCAGGTATGTATTTAAAACAATGTTTTACGCGTATGTCACTTAATAGTTAAATGTTTCCTGAAAAATACTGTCCTTTTTCTTTTTAACACTGAATTATGTTTTTAACACTGAAATTAGCTAGAGCAATTTCGCGCATATAAGATTGTGAATTAGATTGTGAATCAGAAATAACCGTTAATAATCATAAAACGCACTTGTATTTTAGGCATATATTTTAAAATGTAGAAGTTGGATTCATATGGATTGGCATTTGTTTGGCATTAAAGGAAATGTATTCGACGAATATAAAGAGACGAGGGATCGAATCATCTTAGAAAACTGACCAGCATCGCAAAGTTAAAAGCTGACAATTATTTAATTTTACAAGATTTATATTAAATATAGATATATATGTCAGTCAATTTACTAAAAATGGATACACATAAATTGGAAGAAGCCATTCAAAATAGAAATCCATTATGCTTCTTAGTAACGATATTGAAAGGATGTTCTGGATTCCAACTTGTTTTGCCTGAGGTACGGTTTTTAAACGAAATCTCTCTGACTGAAGTTATTCCCTTCATGTTATGCCAACCAAGAACGATTATTGAAAACATGATGAAGACGCATGCAGAATGCAACATAGCTATTTTACAAAACCCTGATTATTTAACTAAGCTTGTTTATAAGTACAATTCTGGCGAAAAAGAAGAGGAATACGTTTTTTCCAATAATATGTCGTTCTTTTTCGATGTCATGACTATATGTTTTTTGTATATTGTGGGTCTAACTAAAATTGATCACGTCGATCCTGCAATAAAGGATTTAATCGCAATTATGAGAAATAAATATCATATATCTGATGCGAATTACTTTGCTCCGCTAATAATTACTGAAAGTAAAATAGTAATCTCTTATCCAAGTATATCTACATTTTTGCAGTATTATAATAATAATATAGCTAATCATATTATTTATCAAATATTATGTATGTCGAATCTCAATATTTTTCTTTTACCGTGTTGTTCGTGGTTAGCTTTAATTATCCCTATAATAGAGTCAGAGTTTAAAACCCCACTTGCATTGCTTCTTGCCATGGCTGTTGTATTCGATACCGACAAACCTTCTTACATATTGTATCAACGAATTCTTGCGTTATACACTTCCGAAGTATTCCCTAGGAGTTTGAAACTAGAGATATGCATATGTTTGGGTATCATATATAAGGAAGAAGATAAATATAGATTTGCTTCTTATTTTACTACACATCGTGAGGAAGCTATAAAGTTAATATCTGCTAAGATAAATGATACAAGCATAGAATATACGCTTTCTAAAATATAGACGTGTTTAATTATTCTGTTTTGCTAAAAAAAATTGATAATACCCCGAGAAAAAATGTTTTACATATAATTATATATCCCGGGAAAAAAAAGTTACATAAATGCACATATTTTTTATATATATTTGTATTTAAAATATATCAAATTATATAAAAAAAATGATATATTTTAAATCAGGGTTGGTAAAAAACATGTTTTAAACGTGTTTTAAACAGTTTAAAACATGCTTAGTTGATGTTTTTAATATGTTTTAAATATATTTTTTTATAGTACTGTTCAAAGCATATTTGAAGCATTAAAAACATATTCAAGAAGAAACATAATATGTTTTATTCTTAAAAAAAAACAGTCTTTACCAACCCTGTTTTAAATACAAATATATATAAAAAATATGTGCATTAATGTAACATTTTTTCCCGGGATAATGTAAAAAATTAGTAATTACTTTCCTTGATTAATTAACAAAGTGCTTATATAACGCAAAATTTATTTCTATAATGCAATAATTTTGAAACAATTATGAAATAATTATAAATATTTTAATTAATTGCACCAATAATTAGGAAATGATGATACTGTCTAATAAATTTCAATCCGTTTTCAAATTGTTTAGGAGTAGATTTTTTCGACGTATGTATGTGCCAAATGTGTCTTCGGTAATAAAAAACATAATGCGATATCATTACTATAGATTTTTAATTAAGACGTTTTTCTAAAAGGATTATTTCTCTTAGTTTCAGACCTTTGTTTTTCAGGAAACAATTTTTAATATTACGAATAGTTAGAAATCCAAAACAATTGTATTATAAATATATTTTCTAGGTTTTAAATATAAAATAAAATCTTCACTTTTTTTGTTGGCTCTACTTTTATGCATAAAAAGATAATATGATTTATATAAATTAAACGCTATATTGATATACAAAAGTATGTACAATAAAATGAACATTTTTTATAAATTACAATTGTATTTTGCTTTAGATTAATCTCTTAATTCTTTAAAAGGAAACAATTTATTACAAGAAAATGTATATGGTGTCTAATAAAAAATAATATTGGCATAGAAAACATTCACACATATACAGGGTGAGGCATCTAAAACAGATCATCTGAATAATTCGTTTGCTTTTAAAAATAGAAAGAAAAATCAAACAAAAGTTGCATGGTTTCGAGGGAGACGTAATTTGGTCATGTTGTTTTACTTCTAGGTGGAGATGTCAAAAAGGTCACCTCCACTTTTTAAAATGGAATTGAACGATTTTTTTTAATATGATTCCTCTAACTATTCTGTATATAAAAAAGTATAAAGGTATACATATCAAAAAACCAATAGTTTATGAGATATTGTACTTTATTCTAGCACATATTGATATAAAATATTAAATTACTCGTAAACTATAAATTTTTATGTAATCATACCTTAATATTTTTATGTACAGAATAATGAGATAAATCAATTGGTGTAAAGAAAACGCATTTGAAAGTTGCTTATTTGAAAAATTATCCTTTTTGCATACATATTTTTTTAAAAGTAACTGTGTTTTTTTTATACCAATTGATTCATCTCATTATTTTGTGCATAAAAGTATCAATATACGATCATAAAAATATTAATAGTTTAACGTTTTATGTCTACATATGTCAAAATATAATATATAATATCTCATAAACTATTGGTTTTTTTATATGTCTATCTTAATAGGTACTTTTATATGCAGAATAATTAGAGGAATCATATTATGCAAAAAAATCATATAATTCCGTTTAAAAAGTGGAAGTGACCTTCACGTCTTTTTGACGCCTCCACCTAGAAAAAAAATAACATAACCAAAATACGTCCTCCTCGAAACCAAAAAATTTTTGTTTGAAACTTCCTTCTATTGTTAAATACAAGCGAGTTGTTCAGATGGCCTGCTTTAGATGCCTCACCCTGATATGTACATTTCGAGTACCTTATATATATTAAATAAAGTTTTAAATATTTTTTACTTTAAAAATATTGTATTTTAAATAAAAGCAGAAAATGTATTAACAATTTTTTGTATGGATAACGCTTCTCGCCTAAAGTTGAGAGTCTTTTAAAGCTGAAACGTTTTTTGATGACACTACCCAACAAGAAGTGGTTTATTAAATTGTCGAATTAACGTTAAAATGGTAATATCGTCGATTTGATACTGATTTGACATTTAATTGACAGACGTTTATCGCTGGATAATTATTACGGATTTACTTAAATGTAATTTTTAAAAGGATATGTTTTTGCATCATGAGCATTTTACGCATATCATTTTATGATTTAGTCTAATTTAAAGATACAAGATAAAATGAAAATAAACATTTTTTGATTGATAAAAAAAATGTTTCTCTTATAAATTAATTCTAATATAAAAAAGTTTTATATTATAATTTCCGTTAATAAGGGGAGGCGGCTTACTGAAATGAATTAGTTTGTAAGAAAAAATTTTTTTTTTGTAATTACAACATCATACTGTCTCTGAGGATGGCTCAAAAGTGAGCCGAAATGTAAGCAGATTAATTATTAATAAAGTTGTTTTGTTAACCATTTAGTTTGCACAAGAATTAACGTGCTTGACTCCTATTGTCTTATTGTATCTAATCATTTTGTATCATTAAGGAGTCTTTAGGAATTAATTTATATTTACAAATTATTTTATTGGCTATTGAGCATCTAAAGGTAAATTTAAGAAAGTCTTAAATATAAGGTCTGACTTTGAATACGGACATAAGACATAAAACACCATCATTTGTGAGAAAAATGGATAAATAGTTAAAAAAGAAGAGTCTCTAAATTGAAATGTTTCCAAGTGTAACCCTTAAATAATTATATCTTTGCTTATAATAGATGGAAAAGAAATAGGTAAAAATTATTTTCAGTCAACGTCGTTATTATGGAAAAATATTTCTTTAATTCTTATAATTTCGTCAAATCTAACAAGCACTATAGCTAAATGTATAGTTACCATGTATATTTACTTGGTTTATTGTATTTGTTTTCTGGCTTTATGTTTTAGTTTCTCATTATAGAGAACACATTTTTGATTAGTATTTATTAAAACGAACTTCTTCAAAGATAACGTGATTTAACGATGATTTAAAGTAAAATGATTCCAGTTTTATTGATATTCTTCTATAATACATCAGTTCTTTAAGTATGTTTTAAACATTTATTGTTAGCATTTCAAAGTTCGAGAATTAAATCCATTCGAAACAATGTAACTTTTCTTATGTTGGGTAACTATTCCTATTACTGTGTCTATTCCTATTAGTGTGTTTTTGTATTTAAATAAGTCATAAAAGAAAAATGATACAAATCAGTAAGGAAATCAACATGTTACAATACAATAAAGAAATCAACATGTTACATTCGCTACTGCTCACATTATGGTCTTACAATCTGTAGTGTGATTGGATTCACTTACTATTCAAGTCTTATGTTTTAAGTTTTTCTATGTATCATGACATTGATAATAGTCGCACAACTTCTAATTGTTGTAAATGTCAGATTTCTACCACTATTTACTACGAATACTTTCCATGGAAAGTTAGAGAGAAGCTTAAATTACGTTCGATTAATTTTAATTATTTTCAAGTGTAATCCGTCTTTCGGTGCTAATAAGAATGCCTTAGGATTGTTTACGTAAGGTATTGGAGTTTTCTCGCAAGTCTCGAATTTGTAATTCCGTAGTACCTTTATAAGTCCAATTTTACTCTGGTAAACACCGAAGCGTGCACCTGAAAATAAAAAGTGATCATAATACAAAATTACTCAAAGTTCTCAAATAAAAATATTTTTAGAATAAAAAGAAATAGAAAGTGATATTTAAATTTATTTAATTTTACCAATACAATTTCTTGGCCCGTCCCCGAAAGGTAGATAAGTCATCGGATGCCTACTTTGCACAGCATCATCACAAAATCTTTCTGGATCAAAGACATCTGGCTTTGGATAAATATCTGAATCTCGCTGAATCGCGTAAATAGGAATCCATATTTGTTGGTTTTTCGGTATACTAACTTTGGTACCACCAAAAGTATAACTCGACATAGATTGTCTCATAAGAAATGTCAGTGGCGGATATTTTCGTAAGGTTTCTGTATGCACATTAAGAATAGTGTTACATTAAAAATATATTATAAAAAAAAACTATGATTAAATTGAAGCAGATTATTACAAATGAGATAAACATATTATATATGTATACATATAATTATATTGGAATTTCACTGAAAAGAACAATAGCGTACCTATATTAAATTTCAATGCATTTATATGCATTGAAAAACTATTAATAACAATTAGATTAAAGTTTATTAGCAATAAAGTTATATTGCAATATTGTCGAAAAGAAAGAAAAAAAATGAAAGAGGTAAAAATATATTACTTTCGTATTTAATTTTTTATTCAAATGACGTACCTTTAAAAACTTTATCTAAATAATCCATTTTTTTTACATTATCGTATGTTAAATTTTCACCATGTTTTGCATAGACTTCATTAATTTCTTTACGCAAATTTTCTTGTATTTTCTCATTTAGTGCTAATTCATAAAGCGCATGGCTAACAGTAGACGAGGAAGTTTCGAAGCCAGCAAGGAAAAATACGAATGCTTGAGCAGCTATTATACTATCTGTCAAATCTGAAATGTCACTTTTTCTTATAAATAAATCTTTAAATAAGTTACATGTAACATACATATATGTTAGTTGTAATTTCTTATATTTCTCAATAATATAACTGTAATATAACATGTGTGTCTGTAACGTTCAGCTATCAAAACTCATTAGCTGATGAGCCAGCCGCTACAAGAGCGAAAGTGCATATAATGAATCATATAAGGTACCGAATACAATTCGCGAGCATCAGGCTCCAAGCCGTGGTATCCACGCGCTCACATCGTGAATGCCGTGGAATGTCTTATGCGGCGAGCGCTATATCAATTTATTAAAATATAATAGCAGCATTGACGAAACACAAATCCTTTTATAAAAATAAATCTATTTCATATGCGTTCATATTATCTCACAAAACCAGTAATTAATTTATAAATCATATAAAACTCTCGCGAGTGCCAGCATCGCCTCCTTGCATTGCCCCAAGTCGGTTATCCACGAGGCCCGTTAAGATAATGGATGGCCCTAAAAGGAGCTATAAGCTGTCTAAGATTATCAAGATCGAGGCAGTAAACATTAAAATAAATAAATTAATTGAATTAGATATTAGATAAGTAGATTCATTTCAGTACCCTTTCTTTTCATACCAAGACTTTGAGTGATGAGCACGTGCGCGGGGCTTCTCTGAGTTGACCGCGTTGTACCGACGAGTGCTGATAGAGTCCCGAAAGAGAAGTGAAGCGCGTCAAACAACGGCTGCTTGAGTAAGCGCTCGCTGTTATTGGTTTATTCTTTTAGATCATCCAATCAGTATTTTAGATCTGGAAGAATACATCAATAGCAGCGAGCGCTCACTCAACTGTTGAGTCCGCTGAACGCAGCCATTCTTACAAGCCAGGTATCTATTCCGGGCAGATTACCCAGAACCAAGGTTCCAGCCCACGCGCCACGATGTACAGGGTGTTGCAGATACATACTAGGCAGTACGACGGGTTGCGCGGCAAACTTTGCATGACCAAGCGTGGTTTAATAGACAATGACAGTGACTTTATACATTATAAAGTTTATACTACAAAGTTTTATTATTTATATTATAAAGTTTATGTTATAAAGTCACTGTCATTGTCTATAAAACCGCGTCTGCCCATGCAAAGTTTACCACGCAACCCGTCGTACTGCCTAGTATGTATCTGCAACACCCTGTACATATATACTCGCGAAAACATCGCCCGGACGAAACAGTGTCACATTACAGTTATATTGTTGAGTAACGAGTAACAGATATGTTACATGTTACTTAGTCATGGATATATGTATATACATATTAGACATATACGATCACATAAGTACATACCAAAATCATCACCCAATTTATCTGGATGTTCCTTTAATTCGCGTAACATATCAATAAAATCATTCCTAGTAATATTATTCATTTCTCTGTAATTCATGGTCTCCACGGTGACTCGTGTGAAGAATTTGGTAATTTCTGTCTGCGGTAAGATATAACCGAGCATTTCGTACAGCCACGGAAAAGATTCTCTCATTCTTACTCGTAACATATTTTCCCATGTCGGAGTGAATACTTTCCTTCCCATCTTGCGAAATTCGCTGTCCTCGTTTGACAACGCGTTCATCTCGATACCGAAGGCACAGGAACCGATTACATCAGTCGCATATTTAGCCATCAACTCACGGCATTCTACTGGTTCATTCCCGCTCGCTATCTTTTCCATGTACAAGATCAGGTGATCAGCACATTCTGATATTAAAGAAAACATCTCCTTTAGTTTACCGGATGTAAAAACAGGTGACAATCGCATTCTCAACGGTCGCCATCTCTTTGGCTCCAAAGTGAAAAGATGTTGCGACAATGGCTCGGCCTGAAATATATGACAGCAACAAAACATAAATCGAATAAATTTAACTCAAAATTAATTTTTACTAGTTTAGTTTTTTTTTTACAAAACTAGCTTAAAAGAATTTGCTTAAGACTTTTAAAAGTAAATCTCACTATTTTTAATAAGTCTCGTCATTCACAAAATATAAAATTAAGTATACCCATAATGTGACACACTGTGTATTTCGTTTGCTCTTTGTACATTCTTATACTACTTTGTATATTCTTATAATGGTTTTTAGTATATTCTCACCTTTTTGAAACTGGGAACTCCTCTGTCAGCAAAGTTGGAGAAATCTTTGATAAGAATATTCTTAATTAAATCTAAATCTTTTACAATAAGAATGGGTGTCTTCCTGGCAAATATCCCAATCAATGGTTCATTTTTGTATGTGTTATATATATCTTTTACATAATCACCCGCAAATTTTTTAGTTAACATAACGTCTTTAAGATTACCAAGTCCCGGTATTGGTCGTGGGCCAGGAACGCCACGTGACTTCCAAAAGTCAAAAGTCGATGTGAGGTAATAATAAATAGCAAGAACTACGGCGGCAATGCCACATAATATTTCAAAGGATTCCATTATCCAACAATCGTTGATCGATTATTATAAATAATCTTTACTGAAAAAAAAAAGAAAAGATGTTCTGTTGTATAAAGCTCCGTCTTAAGGTATATATAGAAAAAGATAGTTAAATTTGATATAAATGTACAATAAAATATATATGTTTAGGCTAAATTTTTGATAAAATTTTATTGATATTAAAACGATTGAGAAACCACTTTTTTTCCCAGTTCGATCACCGGAACACATAATAATATTAATCGCAATAATTAGTATATATAGCTAGAACATCTCTTTTAGACGAAGTAAATAAACAATATTAATCCTTCGCGAACCAGATGGGGTGTGACATATCCCAGCAAGAGGAACTTCTGTAACTTCTTAAAAAATATCGCGCGCATGGTTTCGTGCAACTGCAGACTGTGTTGTTACCAATCATACTAAATTATAGCATATTTATGATGAAGCAAGAGGTATGAGATATATACTCACATATGATCTATGTTGATTTTCTATCTGGTTCACGAAGGATTACGTAAAGATAGACCGATGAAATTAAACACGCATGAAAGAAAAACGCCATTTTCGGTCAAGGTCAATGCCGGCGGTACTGTAACTTTCTTAAAGCCTTATAACTCAAAAAGTACTTTATGAAAAATAACTTTATTGCAGTGAAAAGCTCTTGACACTAGCTATTAGATTCTGGAATAAAAAATAGAATCTGCCAATTTAAAAAATCGATGTGACCTTGACCTGACCTTGGCGACGCTACCCAAGGTCAAACTTATAAGATCAGTAAATAGATCTTTTTGAACCCTACAACTTTTGTCTGAAGCACTTTTCTGTAAAACTTAGATTTTTTGAGATATTCAGGTGTCCCGACCTTTTTGAAACACCCTATATACGTTTCTTTGATTCAATTTGTTGAAGTGAGTAGAAGCAATAATAGGAGCATGTTGAAGTATGCGACGCGAGCAAACCTCTAGTGATCTACGAAAAATTTTCTCAATCATTCGCGCGCGCGCTTTTTTTAAAACGTTATTTTTTTAAAACTTTATTTTTTTAAAACTTCTTCTCAAATAATGCCGCCCCCCTAAACTTGCCGCCCCTAGACTATAGTTTAGGTTCTAATACTAATATGGCACTGGTCAAGGTAGTTCTTCATGCCTAATATTTCTTGTGAATTTATAGCTTGAACTGGAAATTGTATAAATTAACAAGAAATATTAGGTACGAAGAACCGCCTTGACCGGAAATGGCGTTTTTCACTCATATATGTTTAATTCCTTATCCTTCATGATACTAACGTGCATGCAAAAAATAGAAATAATCTCGAAACGTTTATAAAAATCGTTTAAAAATAGTGCTACAATTAATATTAACACATATGTGCAATACGTTATATCATCAAAGAATAATAAAACAATAATATATAGACAATTATTTTTCAATACAGCACGCAGAGATGCATAAATATTACGTCATAATACGATGCAAATTATATCTGATTAATAATATTGCTGACTTTTAAGACAAAAAATAATCCATGGATTCGAATAAATAAGGAGAGATCCAAATGTTTTTCAAAGAATTCGGAATTCCTTTAATAGAAGAATAAGGGCCTGCATTCGTGCTGAAAGTGGTCATTTTAAACATTTCATTTAATTTCTATTTAACTTGTTTATGTTTATCTAAAAATACTGCAGTATTTACAAATACCGGAAAATTAAAAAATAAAATGTAAAAAAAATTTTTAAATAAAACCTGTAGTTATTTTATGTTGAAACAGTGTGAAATAAATTATGATTGTAATTATGAAAAATTAATTTTAATTTTTTAATATAAAAGTAGTTATAACTCGGAAACGACTTATTTCCGGACCTATGTTTTTTACATAGCTTTTTTTCCTCCTTTTTGGCTCCCGAATCACTTCCTGAAGTATTGACCTAACCTCGATTTTTCGGACATTCTGTATAATCTCTATTTTTATTTATTGTCAAAATAAAAGTTTTTCGTTTATAATTAGCATCAACAGATTCGAAGCGATCTCTCGCTGTACTGGAATAGAAAAAACGAGAAAAAACGTACACTACCGTACGTTCTTTTACTTTAAAATTTGAAACTATTCTTGATTTTGAGCAATACTCTTTTAGCAGTAAGATGGAAATAGAGTATGGATGATACGGATACAGATATATCAAGGTTGCTTTAATTTTAACTGCAATTTTTCCGCGCATATAATGCAGGAATAATTGAATGCACACCTATATCGCACATATGCATTGTTAAGATATTGAGAGGCTCGTTAAAAACACATCATTGCAATGCTCCCACTTAAAACGGATGATACGACGCTGAGAAAATACTTGAGAGATAAAGTGAATGATACCGTTTATTAATATAATTTGAGATTATTTTATTATTCGTCACGCAATCAAAAGAAAAAATTACGTCAAAAAATTGATTCTTCTCGCTTTTCCAATCTGCTCCATCTTGGTAGGCGACTCCTTTGTCTGATAATAATAAGTCGACGTGTGATAAAGCGATTTATTTCAATATATTTAGCAAAATAAAATTACAGAATTTACTTTTCTTCTTTCTGAAATTGTCAATTCGATATTGATATATAATGAACATGACATACCTAATTGCAGATGAGAATGCAGTGTAACTGCGTACCAGCGATATTGCCGCGTATCACTGAGCGTCAGCTTGTAAGTAAACTACTGTTGTACTGCAGCTTGCAACGGTGTATAACTTGAGATAACACTAACTGCTGCCGTCTAGAACATATGAAATTATACAGAGAGACGAGGAGATACAAGCTAGTACATGAGTCACGATGAATTGTGGAAATTGAGAGATTTATCTTTTTCAGTTGCTCGATACCATGACTCTGCAAATAATAACAATAAAAAAATTTTAATCGATTAAACAATTTATTATTAAAACAATTAATTTATTGTAAAAACATTCAATGATATGAGGCTAATGAGAGCAAATAGCACAGTAATTAAAGCGAAAAACAATGTACATATAATTTAACTTAAAAATTTTTTAACGTTTCAGCAACACTTTGAACCATGTTCAGCAAATAATTCTTCTACAGTAACAAACTAATGATCTCTCATAATCATGGATGATTAAGAAAAAATCGTTTCAAAATAGCTGTCTTTCAGTTTCCTGATACTTTAGTATAATTAAAAACCATATTAAAGATATTTTTTAATGTGTAGTGAGAATTTACTACAAGTGGCCGACTGAGAATACATTTGTATAATACATAAAGCATAAGAGAATCAATCACTCTGAATCCTTCCTTTCCTTCCACTTTAAAAAGACGAATGGCCGCAGCACAGACTTTTACATAACGCATAACGCATAGTGCATAAGCGAATCAACTAATCAGAAGCTTTCCTTTCCTCTCATTCCATGGAAAAGAAGAATTTCGATTGGTTGATTCCCTTATGCACTATGCATTATGCGTTATGCAAGAGTCTGTGTTGCGACCAGAACTTTGATTGGTTGATTCTCTTATGCACTGTGCGTTATGCATTATGCAAAAGTCTATGGCCCGTATTCAGAACGCATTTACAACGATATTAGCAAGCTAATATGCTATACTTTACATATATTATAGAAATTCGGAGATAAATGCGCGCTTTTATCGATAAAAGCGTGTTTTTAATAAGTACTTGTGTAAACCCCTATTAAAAAAAATCATGTCACAACGTTACGTAATGAAATCATGTAATTAAAACATGTAAATCACGTAACGGATTGTTCCAAGTTAGTACGTGATTTTTTTAAATGACGTAATTCGAAAAATCATATGATATTAGAAATAATTTTATCCATCATGCGATTTTATCGAATTTCAAAGAATTGAATGAAATAGAAGAAATAGAAGAAAAAACAACATATCATTATGTGATTTCAAATTACGTACTTTTAAAAAATCACGTACTGAATTGGAACAATCCGTTACGTGATTTACATATTTTAATTACATGATTTTATCATGCATATCTATGTGATGTGATTTTTTTCAATAGGGGCGGCTCTTAAGGTGGTTGTATCGCAAAATGATTTTTCTTAAGATTTGTTTGAAGTTTTTACTATTTGAAGATAATAATATTCTCTATACATACGTATCATTTTGAGGAGGGGTAACCAGGAAAGTTTGAAAAGTTTGAAGTTAATACTTTTAACATGTGCGAAACAAGAAGTTCCTTGTGCTAACACGGAGCGATAGTACATTTTTAATTATAGTGCAGAAATGATATTTAGAAATTCGTTCAAAAACTAAAGGACTATAGATAAATATAATACGAATCTCTCTCTCTCTTAAACCGAAGAAAATAGGAGTAACCAGGCAAATATTAATTATAAAGCCTTAGAAAGTTGCTTTACTACAATTCATTGATATCCCCTTCGCTTATTAACTCATTCTCAAACGGTACACAATGGGAAAATAAAAATCACAGCCCTTCTACAATAAGCCGCAAGTCAGAAGTTCTAAGCGATCTTAAGTCATAATCGGTGAAGTTGGCCAATAGCCAACTTGAACGACTTGGTTAAGACTGGTTAAGACTTCTGACGTTCTGACTTGCGATTTATTGTAGAAGGCCTATTACTGTTAAAAAATTACAATCAATAATTTTTAAATAGTAATTTTTTTTCACCACCGAACGGTGTACACATGGCATTGGTACTTCGAACGATTGCCTCCTCACAGGTCGCTTTTGTGCGATACAACCACCTTAAGCCCTAAACACAATGGCTGCGTTCAGCGGATTCAACAGTTGAGTGAGCGCTCGCTGTTATTGGTGTATTCTTTTAAATCAGTGCTCGCAAGGATTTGCACATTTCGGAGCGCGATCTCCACCACCGCTCGAGGCTATGCGGCCGAGCCGCCGGCGCTCACGTGACGCTCTGACTCAGGAGCGCCCAAAGATATAGAGAATAGACTGTGCGATCCGTATCTAAGTAGTGTATCAAATGTGGTCGACAATAATGAGAGAGAGGGACCGTGGGAGACGGCCAATCTCCCTCTCATTCTCTCTCTCATTACACCATTGAATGGAAAGAGATATAAATGGCCGTCTGCTACGGTCCCTCTCTCTCAGCCCTATCGACCATTTTCACACACGAATCGCGCAGTCCATTCTCTATGTCTTTGGGAGCGTCTCTATACCAGAAATATACTAGGAGCGCACCTTCCACCAAATTATTATTAAAACATGTTTTTTATTAAATAATTTATGAAGCGCCATTACGGACTGAATGTTAAGATGTTGAACTATTATATATATTCATTTAAATGAATTAATTTCAGAGATTATAATTATGCGCCGATATGGTTGTCGTACTTTCAACGCAATATGAATCTGAAATATTAATAATCCTCCCAAATTTCCCAAATTTAATTTGAAAAAACTGTAATAAACTTATTGCGAAGAAAAATATGGAACATTTTGATTTTTTGATTGCTCATAACTTCGTTAAAAATTATCGCGTACCACAATTTAAAAAACAGATTCTTAAAACTGAAACATTGCTTTATCGCGTATGATATAATTACCAAATCTTTTTCGGGGAGAACAATGATATGTTGTGGAATTGTATACATTGATAAGGATCCGAAGCGAGGATCGAAACGTTTAGTAACGAAATTACCGAATAAATTCATTTACGCACGAACTACCAGTGTTTGACTCGGAAAGGCATCTTCATATACATAGATTTATTCACAACTGAGTCTAATTGTACTATCTATATATAAATTTATATTCTGTTTGTCATCATCTGTTCACGGAAGGTCATCAAGTCTATTTTTATGTTTCAATTGTTTTCTGCTATCGAACTTTCATCTCAAAATCAACGTGTCGGCAGACTGAGAAAAACGACATACACGATAAGCTTTATGCTCTTTTTTCTTAGAACGAAGACAGTCGTTATGTATGTCGTTGATGCGTATTGACACGCCTATATAATATTAGTGAAGATTTTTCATTCGGTAATTCATACGTTATATGTTGTAATATATATCTTTAAGGATATTCTTATTGAAAATCTTCTTATTCCAACCCAAGTAATGGCAACTTTAATTCTCTATCAAAAATGATTACTCTTCGACAAAAATTAATGTATCAAAAATGAAAAATAAAAACCTAGATGCTACAATCTTAACTAATCAAGTTAAATTCCATCAAATTAAAAAGTAAAACACAAATGGTACAGTCTCTTGTTATTTATATAAACTTATCTTTTACAAAAAGGTAAAAAAGTGCTAAGCGTGCGTGTTTTTTATAAAGGATCATTTGGGCCGGTTTCATCGTATTTGCTGTTTAGTAGAATTGACCACTTATGGTTGACAGTTAATCACCGATTCGGCTTAATCGAGTTGGTGAAATCGGTCTTTTGTACATAATACTAATTAGTATCCAACCCAATTAATAGTAGTTTTAATTTTTCTTCGAAGATATTCTTATTGAAGGTCTTCTCATTCCAACCCAAGTAATGGCAACTTTAATTCTCTGTCAAAAATGATTACTCTTCGAAAAAAATTAATGTATCAAATGAAAAATTAAAACCCAGAGAGAGATGCTACAATCTTAACTAATCAAGTTAAATTCCATCAAATTAAAAAGTAAAACACAAATGATACTGTCTCTTGTTATTTATTTAACTTTAATGATATGTATCATTCGTATAAAAGATTTGATATCAACAATTGGCACCAAGTTAAATTCCATGTAATTCGGATACTAAATTAAATAAATAATATTAACTTTAATGATATGTATCATTTGTATAAAAAATTTGATATCAACAACTGTGGCGCCAAGTTAAATTCTATTAACACAATAAAAAGTAAAACCCAAGTGATACTATCCTTATTGTTAATTAATCCAAATGGTACTATCTATAATTTTTATACAATGAAACTTAAGTATACGCAGGGTTGGGTAGTGCCAAGTTAAAAAGCTAAAAGTTAAGTTAAAAAGTTGAAAAGTTAAATAATTTTAACTTAGAGTTACATTTTAGACTCTTAACTTTTTAACTTTATTTAGTTACATTTTATCGATAACTATTAACTTTTTATTTAAATTTGTTGAAGTTAAGTCTCAGACTCAAACATATACTTCATTTAGAACATACTCTATATTTTACTTAAAAGTTTTGTTTGTATATATTATTTACATTATATATTGATTTCAATCTAGCAAAAACCGCATATTTTAATCTAGTTTTTGATAGGTTGAAATCTATATTATATATACAACAACTAATTGAATATCGTAAAAAATTTACAAATATTTTCATTTGATATCAGTATTAAAACTACGTTGTCCATAAGCATTTGACAGTCATCGTTAAAATGGCGCTACCGTAAAGAGAGATGCAAAATTATCGTTACAAAAAATACGTTTCTTGAATTAAATTTCCAATTCTTTTTTATTTATTTGCGATTAGCTTTTTTAGAAAAAGTATTTTTTTATTAAATACTATATACATTAACGTGACTGAGATTGTAATTACAAATTCTTTGTTTATTTTGCTTTATTAGATATTCTATGATTAGATATTTTACACATAATGTTATAAAAGAGCCGGTATTGATAGCTATGAAAAAAATAGTTCTATTATTGTTTTATCTGACTCCTTTATTGCATACTCACACGGGGAGAAATCTATTACGATTTTGGCACGAACAGTCGATACTACTATCGCGTGGCCTATTTCAATGCGCTAATAGCATCATCGTTCAAT